TGCTCATTTGGTAATCTTCTATTCACAGCCTGAAAAGGTTGCACTATAACCTTCTCCATTAAGTTGTCCTACAGAAATCAGATTTCTTTTGAGGCCAGGAATATGTCTCACTCCTGTCAGCTTCCAAGTAGTCTGGTTTGGCAGCTTTAGTCGGATGTATCCTTTTCCGACGATCTTCAAAGTTTCATAATCAGCTAGATGAACCTTCCCAAAATCACCACTGACATAGTCCTCCATGATTTCTTGGCATGGGGTGGAGTGGAAAGATGCCCCTGAATCCAAGATCCATGATTCAATCGGACTGTTGACACTTAAAATCATGGCATCACCTGTCACGTTGGCAGAATCCTGTGCACCGGTATTTTTCTTCAATGCTCGGCAATCTCTTTTAAAGTTACCCTTCTTGCCGTAGTTATAACAGGTAAAATATTTCTTTCCCGTTATTGATTTTTCCCTTCTGGATTTTGATATGCCACGATTTGAATTTCTTTCTGAAGTTCTCCCTCTAGACTCCGTGTGCAAGGCTGAGGAGGTTGATGCTTCACCCGATTCTCTTCGTCAAATTTCTTCACTCAATACCAGATCCCGAACATCGTCAAATTTTAATTTATTGTTTCCCGACGAGTTGCTGACTGCTGTAACAGTAGCATTCCAACTGTCTGGTAGAGATGATAAGAGAATTAAAGCTCGAACTTCATCATCGAATTCAATTTCCACTGAACTCAACTGGGTTGTGATTGTGTTGAGTTCATTCAGGTGTTGTGCCACCGATGCCCCTTCCATAATCTGCAAATTGAATAATCGCCTCATCAAATGAACTTAGTTTGAGGCTGAAGCTTCTCATACATACTAAAGAGAGCCGTCATAAGACCCGCCGTGGTCTTTTCCTTTGCTATGTTGAAAGCAACATTACGAGATAACGTCAGTCGGATAACTCTGAGGGCTTTTCTGTCGAGAAGAGCTCAGTCTTCATTCTTCATGCCCTCTGGTTGCTTTCCTGAGAGGGGTTGATATAGATTTTTCTGGTACAAAAAATCTTCAATCTGCATCTTCCAAAAGCCAAAGTCCGCACCATCAAACTTTTCAATTTTCACATTCCCTTCGTCTGCAGCCATCGCTCCCACTCGAATATGGATTCGTTTGGATCGTTTCTGACAATTTCTGTGAACCGCCGTGTATTAGAACACCTCCGTCGACAAACTCGTATCGCCGACCGAATTTCATTATTCACGAAATTCACTATTCACATAAATAGTAACCCGAATAGTAACCTCGCAAAAAATTGATAGAATTTACAACCAAAAGCTCTGATGCCAGTTGTTAGGAAATAAACCGAGTACAAGTAATTTCCCTATAACCAGATTAGTGAGAATGCGAAATAAAAGCGGAAAAATAATACCCGAAAAATTGATAACGGAGTTAAGCCAATTGTGCATACGTCTCCGGACTGCTACAGATATTTTACTAAGAGAAAAAATTTACATGTGTTTACAAAACACTCACTACTCACAAGAAAGCTCTCTAGTATAGGAAGAAAGAAATGTTTTGGGATGATTTTGAAACTAAATGAGCTAGGGTATTTATAGTTAAAGCCTAAGGACTAATCTTGTAAATACCCTAAAAAATGCAATGACTAAAGTTGCAATACTCCCATTTCTATTTCAACAATAACTGCCCATTTATTGTTTTTCAGCCCCCCATGTGCATTTGTTTTTCCAGCTGAAATTGTTGATTTCGACGGCCCCCTTCAAGCCTTCGTTTGTTGACTTTTCCCAACACAAAGAAAATTCTGGGATTGTATTAGATACCTTGTCCCAGCCATAGTCATTCCATAAAAGTGACAAGTTCTTAGCTAGATGGAAAGGACCATTTTCATGAAACAATGCCAATTCACTGCTGCATCCTGGACCTCCTGCCAGCCAAATAACTACAGGGTCCTTGCTGCTGTTCCGGGACTCAAAGAAAAAGTAAAACATCCTGCGAATTTTCGAGAAAGAGATCGATAAATAACCAGAAACCAGTTTTATGCAAAGAATTAAGATCCTTTTAGCAACTTTAGAAGCAACATATAAGAACCATGACAGGTATATATTCAATGTTCACTGCATAAACATAATATATATACATGAAATTAAGAAGTGTAGGCTTACTTAGAAGATTTAGAATGTGGAAGTTTATAGTATCCAGCATGGTGAGCAAACTTCTGAAGAGAAGGAGCAGGAGAACCGAGCAAAGGGAATCTAAATTGCCTTTCAACAATCTGGGAGTTGTCAAATGTAAGGTCATTGATGCCTTCATTGGCATCATCTTTTGGGGACAAATTAAGTCCTCTTATGAGCTTTTCCGCTTCTAGCTTTGCCTGGCTGGTACGGGGAGTGATTTGCCTTGGGGAAATAGCCTCAGACGAGAATGGTGAAACCAGCAAAAACAGGGAAAGCAAATGGAGCTTCTGAAAGAGAATTGAGCCCATTTTTTTTGTGATAATCTTTTAGGATATTGTTTGGTTTATATAGAGTTTGATAGAACCCCACTTGGGGACAAAATCCATTGATTTTGCATGCTTCCACTCTTAACCATCTCTAATGCAGTGTTGCTTTAAATGAAGAATATAATAAGAAAATTTTGATAATATTTAAATATTTAATGGTATTGTTAAAAAGTATTTTTTGAAAATATAAAATATGTAATTTACTTTTTTTATAAAACCAAGAGTAAATGAATAATTTCGTCTCAAACTATTTTTAACCAAAGTCAAAAATTATAAATTTAACTTTTTAATTGAATTATAATTTTGATTTCGAAAAATAATTTTGATTTTGCAAATTAATTATTTAATATCACTTATGATTTTAGTCTCAAGAGTGCGATAATTAATTTAAGGCTATGTTTATGAAATTATTATTTTTTGATTAAATGTTTATGAAATTATTGATAAGAAAAGAAGGTTGTGTGTTAATAATATAAATACAAATTTTCTCATTACCAATCAAAGGCAACTATAATAACTACTACATATAACTAACCACTAACCCCCACTATCTCTCCAATGTCTCCAATAACAAAATAATTGAAAGATGAATTTTGTTTTTAAATTTGTGATTATCAACAAAACCATTCTCTAATTATAAAAATTAATTTAATTTAATGATGGGGTGTAAATAAGCTATTTCCCCCCTTCTCAACCCTAATTAATTAACAATCTTCTAAGGATGAATCAATGGATGTTAAAAATATGATAGTACTTTTTAAAATTTTAAATTATCACGTAATTTAGATTTTTTATATTTTTATTTATAATTTAATTTTATATCTTTTAACATTTTGTAATTTTATATCCCTTAAATTTTCATTATAATTTCATAAGACTTACTTCTAACATAAAATGTGACATTCAATCGTATAGTCTTCTCTTTTTGTTTTGTTTTATTCATTTCATTCAATAATGGAAACTAGGCTTTGAAGACAAGATTAGAACAAACAAAATTGCTTACAATACATCAATTACATGGCCGAACATTTTACTTCACTCAATGTTTGGATGGAGAAACATGGCATGGCCATGGATGATCTTCCGAATGACATTGACCGGGTCCTGTTTATGTATATGTTCTATCACTCCTTATAAGGAATCTATCGTTAAAATGAATTGTAAATTGCAGGAAGATCGGAACCATCAAATGGCTTGAGTAGTTAAAATGAGTTTTACTAAGTTCTGGTTCAAATAGTTGAGTTTACAAAGGTATGTGTTGTTAATGATTAAAACATATTTTGAACAAATATTACTCGTATAATCATCCAAAACTATTAAAAAAAGGGTAAATTGCGTGTTTAGTACTTAAACTATCAGTTTTGGTCCAATTTAGTACCTAAACTTTCAAATTTTTTCAAAATCATACTTAAAGTTTAGTTTTTATTTCATTTTTATACCTCATTCAAAATTTAACGTTAAGTTTTTAAAAAAATTGAAAGTTTTAGTGCTAAAAGAGACCAATATTGATAGTTTAGGCACTAAACGTGTTAAGTTTTTAACGACGGGTACTAAAATGAAGCAAAAACTAAATGTTATATATGGTTTTGAAAAAATTGAAAGTTTAAGTACTAAAATGGACCAAAACGGATAGTTTATGTATTAAATGCGTAATTTACCCTAAAATAAAAAATAAATGACAACATAGCTTAACAATAAAAAGAAATTTTTTTACTTTTATGGTTTTATTTAGTTAGATAAAATTAATCTCTATTTATACTAGTAATTAAATAGACATATGGCATGTATTTTCATAAAATAGATATTCTCTTTTACTTATTAAAATCATTCACTACTGACATTTTTAATCAAAATTTCTTTTAATTTTGATTTGTTATTATTTAAAATTTATTATTAATAAAAATATAAAAACAATATTTTTAAAACTTTTGATAAATTATTCTTAAATGCACATTTTATTAAATTTAATTATTTAAAATATTGAAAATAATTATGATGAAAAATTAAACAATTAAACTTCAAATAAAAGTTAATAAGAAATAATGTTGATAAGATTTGACAAAATAACAAATAAGACTTCTAGACACGTTAAAGTGTATACTCACTCCAAATTTATTATGTATTCAAAATATAATTAATTTGCACAAAACAAGCGACTTTGATGGCAAATGAATTGTTGTTATTCGTTGAGGTATCATGTTTGAGCACTATAAATGACACGGGTATGAGCGTTCAATGTCAAATAGTTAAGAGTTATCTTTGAACAGATTGCCACCTTCTACTTACCCATCTATTATTACCAACTCTTTTTACCCATCTATTTCTTGGAAAATTTTCATTGTCTAGGTGTGTTTGTAATTTATAGTTTGATTGTAATTGGTGCTTCGTTAATGAAAATCACTCTTCTATCTTTCAGAAAATAAATATTGTACCACACCAAAAATGTTATCGTTAACATCATTAACGATTTGAATTAACTAATGATATTATAAAACTAGAGGACCAAAGTATATCAAATTGAAACATAAGGTCTCAAACTTATATTTGAACATAACATGGAGCAATTCATGATTGGAAAAATGCACCAGAAACTTACAAGGAGCAATACATGATAAGGACCAAGATGAACAGTGCGACAAGCTTTGACAACTTAATGTCCAATACAAAACCCACTTTCACTCGTCAAAAACTTTATTATCAAGCATCGCCGAGAATAACTCGCAGGAACTTCCTGTATAGCCTACCATTATCTTCATCCTGCATATGCTGTTGGAAAAATTATCAAATCAATACCACAAAATGCATAATTGAGAATCTAAACGAAAAAAAATTATCTATTGCAAACAACACGACAAAAATCAAACAAGATCTTGCAACACAAAAATGGGAATAAACAACTGAAATTGTTAAACCAATTCCACCGAATTAAAAGGAATCTCCTACTGTAAAAGATCAAGCATTCACTCTTTAACTCCACATTCTTGTAATCTCCTATTACCAAAACACACCACTTTATTTGACATAAACAGCCTTGGGAATTTCAATTGTATGAAGGATGGAAAATTTGTTAATCTAGTGTCTAAGCTTAAAAGTAGGTAAATGATTATGAATGTTAACCATTTGATTAACAATTTTTCCAAACTCCACCTTTTCCATCCTTCATACAAAGCAGAGTCTTAATCTTTGCTATGGTTGACCAGTGAATACCAAAGAATAGGTAACCTTAGTTTCTATTTGTTATTCTTTCATGAGAAAACTACCATAGACAATAATAGAATAAAATTCTAATGTTATGTCCCTCGCGTGTTAAACAAAAGCAGGTAAATATAGATGTATCAAATATGTCCTATTGGAAGAATTTTGTTCTTGATTGTAACACTACAATGTTAAATAGCATGCTTTTTGGGGTATTCTTACTTCTCAACATATTTCGGTTATGAGTGTTGATTTTTTTTTCTATGGCTGGTTAGGCTTATGTTACAAGGTGTGGAGATAACGTGTCAAGACACAGTTAGGGCACAGTTATGACAACTTTTGCCGTTATATTTTAAAAATCCAAGTGGCCTACCCCATACGAATAGTTAATTGTACAAGAAGTTAGGGATTCATATGTTAGGATAAAAAGAGAAGTCTACGTAATATAAATACACTTAAAAATTGACTGTGATCATAAAAGGAAGAAAAATTATATCAGCTGCCTAAAAGCTTGAGAAAACAAAAAGAAAATTGAAAGTGAGCATAAAAGGATGTAATAAAAAATTTACAGATTATGGTCTAGCACGAGTAAGAATAAACATATTGCTAGTAACAAAAGAACTTTCTTTTACACTAGTGCATTACCAATTTTGTTACCAAAGCAATACTCTCGGCACAACAATTTTAGTGTGGTAGTGGATAAAATCAAGCCAACCCAAGGGTTTACTCCATAAAATGTTTCAGTAAGACAAAACTTCAATTTTCAAAACCCTTATTCAAACTTCGAAACCCTAAGGAAATCATTCAGAATCAACTAAACAGAAATTGATTAAAACGACAATAGTCTCAATCAAGCAACCAATCTTGACAAGAATCACACAGCCCCAAATAGATTTTACAAATTATGGTCTAGAACAAGAAGAAACATGATCCCATTAACAAAAAGAACTTTCTTTTACATAATAGTGCATTAACAATTTTCTACCGAAGCAATACATCTCAGCATAAAAATTTTATATCAATACTGGTTAATGAAATCAAGCCAATCCAAGGATCTACTCCCCAAAATATTTTAGTCAGATAAATATTCAATTTTCAAATCCCTTTCTCAAACTAGAAAACCCTGAGGAAAACAATCGGACACCCAATAAACAGAAATCGGCTAAATCGATAATGGTCGCAGTCAGGCAATCAATTTCAACAGTAATCGTGAAGACCCAATCTGATATATCAAACAAGATCCCAATACCCCAAATTCAAACACATAAAAAATGCAATTAAAAATATTAAGATATCAAGAAACAAATGAAATGCTAAATCGTTAAATCGAAGCTATAGAGCTAAAAGAGAGATGGAAAAGGGGAAGAATACAAATTCTCGAACGATGCCCCTGTACACAAGGACGGGGATAGCGATGCCGAAAATGCCGACAAGAGCCAAATTGCGGCGAGTCCATCTGAAGTTGTGTTTCAGATTCTCTCTTGCCGAGCTCCAATCTTCAATGAATCTGTTTTCGTTTGCCTCCATTCCTCCCCCCATCCTTTCTCCTTCGCTTACCCCCCGCCCCGGCTGTAGTATACTTTTGCTTTTCTTCTCTAATGGACCTTAGATGCTATTTATGATCGCCTACAACGGACTATTTGGCTGCATTCCTTAGCCTATTCGCCGACCATATTCTCATTTGAGTTAACTACGCTGATAATCCCTTATGTTTGTATTTTATCAACTTTTTGCTTACTGATTCAAAAAACATAAGATATAGTCACTTTCGTTTTTATTTAATTAAGATGCGGTCATCACAGGTTAACTGTTGTTAACAACTAACATAATATGTGACGTGATAGTTGGTATAACAACACATTTGTTCCCTTTTATTTACATATTCTATCAATTTAGTCATACTTTTAAATAAATTTTAACATAACATATATATTTTTAAATGAAAATAAAAATAAAATTTTTTAAATTAATTAAATTATAAAATACATTTAATAAGTTAATATAAAAGTACTTTTAAGTTAATATATATAAAATATTATGAATTTAAGTATTTATACACTAAGATACAAAATATATACACCATGTTATCTACTTTAGACCAAGCAATGGTCTTGGCTTAATGGTTGGATACACGTTTAGTTTCCTAAGTGAAAAAGGTATGACTCTTTTTTGCCCTAATTTGCTTTCCTTTGTTTTCTTTCAACCAAAGAGTGACACTGGCATGACATGTGGCATCATTCGATTGGATGATTATATTTATTTTAATTTATTAAAATTATGACTAAGTTGAGAGAATATATAAATAATAGGGACAAAATGTTTGATTATATCAAAATATTTAACTTGTGTTAACGACAGTTAACTCGGGGTGACCACATCTTAATTAAATAAAAATGAAAGTGATTCTATCTTATGTTTTTTGAAATTAGTTACCAAAAGTGGACAAAACACAAACATAAGTGATCATCCGTGTAATTAACCCTTCTCATTTTTAAGTAGGAAAAAGAACTCAAAATTTTATGTTTAATCCTTCTTCTTTAATAAAGTTTAAGATGTAGACTCTACTAAAAAAATAAGGATAACTTACATTAGATAGCATTACATTATGTCCTTTGACTCGTTTATGTTATTGGATTTTTAGTTTTATCAATTACAATACTGAACTTTAGTTTTACATTTAATTAGGCTATTGTGTCATTAAATTAGTTACAGGATGATGACATGGCTAACGATTGTTGACGTGATCTGTCATACTAAACTTTTAGAGATACATCAATTTTGTCAATGAACTTTTAAATGGTTTACTTTTTTGACACAACACTTTCTAGTCGTTGTCGATAGTCAATCCTTTTATGATTTTTAGGATCGTTGGATGAGTAAAAATAAACAACTGAGTTTAACTTCTTGTCTTTTTTCAGTGAATATCTTATACTTTCCTATTAGTAATCTCAATCGTCTATTTTTACTCATCTAAGTTCCCAAATCTGTGTAAAATTTAAAAAAACACAAAATAAATTTTTTTATAGAAGCCACTAGTTTTATTAAAAATATGAAATATCCAAAACTAGAATGAAGGTTTACTAGAATCGTAAACTAAATATATAATTAGGACATTTTCATATAACCATTGATATAAAAACTAGCCACCTAGATCACACAATGACCAAACAAGGAAAAAGTAAAAAAAAAAAAACTAATCAAAAAGCTCAAAAAAATATAGATACGAAAAAATTTGACCGCAACGGCAAAAAAACCACAAAAGGAGGTGAAAATACTGAAAGACCACCGATAAACCACAAATCAGAGTAGAGTTACATAAGAAAACTATCCACAAACACAAATTGCATATCCAAATCAATCTGAGGGTCCAAAGTATGAAAGATCAGCATGATAACAAATAAATGTCATATTGATCAGTTGCGGCAATGTCAAAACTAACACTGAAAAAAAAATAAACAAAAACAATGATCAACTGACAAAAAATGTGTTAAAAGGAAGAGAAAAACATCTATAAAAACATAGTAAAATGTTTCATAAAGACAGAGTTATTAAAAAGTAAACAAAACAAAGAAAAATAAAGATATGATATAAAAAAATAGATGAAAAAAATACTAACGGCTGCTGCTATTATTAAGGTTGGTGCCGTCACTTACAACAACAACCAAAAAAAAGAGAAAGGAGTAAACTGAGAAAGGAGTAAACTGTTAATAATTTTAGGGTTCCAATAGGAGAGAATATATCTGTTGATAATATATCATAATCATATAATCATAATACCAAATAATATAAAACTTTTAGATGTGCGCGCGCATGTATGTGTTGTCAAAATCCTCGTCAATATTTATGCTGTTGAATTTAATTAGTTATGTTTTATATAATAATCCATTCGGTTTTTATATCTCTGTAATGTATAGACATATTTATAAAAATAATTTAATTTTAAACTAAAAAAACTTTTTTAGATTGATTAAGGAGGTATTTTCTAAACTTATTGAAATATAACATTTTTAATTGCTCAAAGTAAACCATTTAGTTCTAGAAAATATTTTCTGTTTTTTTTATTTTTAGAAAATAAATTTGTTTTTGGTTTTTTGGAAAATAAAAAATATGTTTAGTTAATATAAATAAAAACCTGAATTCAAAAATAAAACGGTGAAAATATATTTGGTATCTATTTTTTTAAAACAAAGATGAATAAATAGTTATTAAACATTTAAATTACATACATTTAACACGTGAGTTATGTAAATATAAAACAATAAATTTGATAAGTTCATAATACAAATTATTTTAGTTTATAATAAGAATATAATGTTAATGCATATTGTACATCAATTAAATTTAGAAAATATTCAAGAAATATATATATATATATATATATATATATATATATATGTATATATATATATGTATGTATTTATGTATATATATAGTATTATTTAAGGTCTCAACTTTTGAGAAAAATTAGTGTATCCCTTGAAAAAAATTACAATAAATGTGATCATTAAACTGGAAAAATATTATATTTAATCCTTTGACCAACAGAATCAAACCGTCACAACACTTACACAACAATTCACAATGCTTATATAATAATCTACAATGTTGATGTGATAGTACACGATGAATGATAGTGTGGTAGATATGTTTAACTGGTTTCTTTACTATGTTGAGGACCTAATTGATTTTTTAGAAAGTTTGAGAATTTATTCAATTTTAAAAAAATGTATTATTTAAATTTAAAATATAAATAATTATTAAGATATTCAATATACTAAATATAAAAATACTATAAAGTTAAATTATTAAAAAAAATCAATTTAAGGACCACATTGAGTGTAAAAAAGTTTAGGGACCATATTGATTATTTGGAAAAAGTTTGAGGAATTTAGATACCATTAAATCAAAAAATTATTGTTAGAATAGTTTGAACTTGTGTAAGTTAAATTAAAAATCCTAACCTCATGTTTTCCTATATTTCAAATTTCCAAAACAATTTTAATAAAAATATTGAAAACATATTTTTTATGTTTTCATTTTTTTCATTTATTTTTATTTTCATTTTTCAGAAATCATTATCTAATTTTACAACTAAACTTGTTTTCTTCGATGTTTTCTATTTTCTAAGAAAATTAAAATTAAAATAGCCTATGTTTTTTAAAACCAAACGGACCTAAGCTATTCATGAAAAATCCATATAAAATACTTTTTTTAAAAATATGTTCCCACTATTAATTAAGTGTGCATTCTTATATCAAAGGATTGTAGTTTAAAATTAATTTTAGATACGTAAAAGTTTAACTTTAAAATCATTTCGACAACCCTATTTATTGTAATGCAAACATTTAAGTCATAGACATAAAAATGATTTTGACTGTGTCGATTTAAAATAAATTAAAATGTAACTGCATATATATATATATATATATATATATATATATATATATATATATATATATATATATCGATGAAAATTTAGGGACCTAATGGAAAGTTTCAAAAAAATGAAGGGCCTAAAGGGAACTTTTCAAAACTTTCAGGGCCTGGATGAAATTTTTCCGAAACCTCCGCTCTCTGTGGTCCGCTAAAGCTATGACGACATCTGCGCCGGCAGGCTGCATGTGTAGCTGTTCATCTTTCATACTAAAGCTTAAAATATTTTCGAAAACAATGAGCTGATTAGAAAATGTTGTTGTAAAAACTCTTGTAAAGTTGATTGAGAAAGAACCAGAAAGTCACAAGAGCTGAAATATTAATGAATCGGAGCTTACCAGGAAAAAAGTTTGCAGACCTGGGTTGATCAGGTTTGATATAACGTATAACTAAGTACTGTATATATATATATATATATATGGTAAAAGTATAATTGCAAAGATATTTAGGGTTCATGGAGTTTAGCCTAGCTGCCATTGTAGAAGTGGCATTCACCTGCAGCTGCAGCTGCACCTTCTTGGCATGGTTTCAAGTATTCCTTCGCCGCCGGAAACACATGATCTGCTCCGCCGGAGACAGACATGGTTTTGTTTTTCCAAATAAAATAAAAGAAGAAACACGCAAGAAGGTGCAGGTGCAAATGCAGATGAAGGCTACATCTTAGCAAGCCTTGCAAAACTGTAAATCAAAGTGTGTGTATTTATATATTTATAAGAGGAGAGAAAGAATCGGACAAACAAAGGGCAAAGGCAGATTTGATAGTTTAACCATGAGAGAGAACCTATTAGGGAAATAATTACAGATGAAAGATATGACAAGCACAAGTCAAGCCTCTATTATTTAATGCCTTACGTAAAGCAAATTGCATTATAGATCCCTTAGTCATAGATAAAAATTTAAATTGATTTTAGAATTCTAAGCCTTTTAATTAAGTCCTTTCTCTAATACATTAGCTGGTTTCGACGTTAAGTTAATTTAGATCTCGCATGTTAAAAATATTCATTTCGATGTGTTTGAAAAGAAAAATGAAGAATTTCGGTAGTTAAAGAGGGCGTTGTTCTCCCTAGAAGTCTTAAGTTCAAGCAATTGTGATTACATATGTGTGTGTTGTCAATGATTAAGAAAGAGTTCAATTATCCCTATTTGAATGATCTTATCGGTACAGGGACTAATATAAAATATGACCGAAATATAGTGTGTGTAGTGCAATTAACCCAAGTAGATATTTATGAACAAAGTGGGGTTCTAGGCCACGTGATGCAACCCTAGGGAGCACGTGGGCTTTGGAGCTGTAACTAATCACAAGCTGCCACGTATTCAAGTTCACTTGAATAGGGAACTATGCCTCGTGGGCTTGAGATTGGACTGTTGTCATTAAAGGAAAAAGGCAAGAGGAATTGAGGCGCGGAGATCTCCATATATTCTCTCTTTCACTTAAATGGACATGCACGTCTAATATTAATAGTCTCAATTAATAAGATTTTTTATTAATTTAGAGTAAGTATAAAGTAATATATATTTAAAGATAATTTTTAATCTTTTGACACTAAACGCTCGCACCTCTAACATCTATAATGTTCAAACTCGAATCCTCAAAGAATAATAATAATTCATATACTACATAGACCATTTGGTTCAAGAAATTAATAAGATTCTTTTAAAACTTATGATACATAAAAAGTAGTATTTTCCTCGACATTACAGCAAAATCGTGATATAAACATATCTGTTAAATAAAAAAAAAATTGTTTCACACACATTTATAATATAAACATAGTTGATCAAATTCGAGTCATTATAATACGGTAAGGTACACGTCTTATTTTGGTGACATGCTTATATATATTTTGAAATACTGGTTTTATGTTATTGGCATTTTGATTATTTATCAAAGAAAAGAAAAGAAAGTAAGGTACACTTCTTTATTTCGTGTGGTGTGGTGACCACAGAATTGAAGATGTTCATGGCGGCCGCTGCGCACCGTCCAAATTGGCCCCGTCGAAATCTGAACGGAACATGTACGAAATCGACAACAACGGAGACATCGTTGAATAAAGTTGATATCCACCAGAGTACATCTTTTGCATATGGGGGCCACAAACATCAAATAAAGTTAATATTTACCTTTGTTTTTTTGTTTTTGTCTTTTTTTCATAATTGTTCTTTTTACAATCCTCGATCATATATTTACAGAAAATTTTAATAATATATTTATTTATTCCTATTATATTCTGTCTCTCTCTCAATCTTATTTCGACTAGACAAAGATAATAGTGGAAATTCTCACTGCAAAAAATAATTTTTTGGGTGAAGATCCGAAGGATAAATTCTGAAAATCAACCAAGTGTTGATATATTCGAAGGCTGAAGGGTTAAAAAGAATCCAATCTGCTTGATACTATTTTTTTATTGTTTCAACTCTTCAGCCGCCCATTGACAACAACTTTTTATACAATAAATAATATTATGATATTTCTCTTATAATCAAACTTGAGTGGATTTAATAAAAACCCATCAATTGGTTTCAATGGTTAAAGGAAAAGCTATTCTCGCTAGAAGTGTTGAGTTCGAACGATTGTATATACATGATGTGTGTTATCAATCGAATAAGAAAACCCTGAATAGATATTACGTTATAATACATAATTGGGTTATAAGTAATAATTCTAATTAGGGATCACAAACTAACTATTCAGATGTTAGTTTGAACCTGGGCCTTGGGGATATAAATTATAGAGGTCCACATCGGCAATGTTCGGGCCAAATGATTAATACCTAAAAAAAAGTTTATAATCAATTATTTTGGGTCTGAATATCCAAGAAGAAAAAACTTCATGAATAATTAAGGGAAATAATCTCAAAAGATTCAAAAATTAAAGATAGAAACATTTTCAGCACACCAACCTGACATTCATGGGTGTAGACATACTTTCCAAAAAAACAACATTTTGAGAAATAATGTTGAAATTTATGAATAATTAAGAAGAACAATCTCCAGAGAATCAAGCATTAATGATACAAACATTTTCAATTCACCAATTTGATATTCATGGGTGTAGAGATACTTTCCAAAAAAATAATAATTGGAAAATAATGTTTACAAATTACAAGTAGACATTTTAGTAATTATTGTTTTGTTTTTTTATGAATGGTAAAAATGTTCACAAGTTAAAAGAATTATAATTGTAGCTTATTTAAAATCACTGAACCAAAATATTTTTATGTTTGATTAGATCATATTTGACAATTAATTTGTGTGGCTGTTTAGTAAAAGGGTTAATGTACACTTTGGTATTACCATTTGGCTTCAAGTTTCAATTTCGTACTTAAGTTTTTTTATCCAATTAGGCATTTAAATTTGATTTTAAGATTCAATTTAGTACATAAGTTTTTTTAGTAAAAGGGTTAATGTATTTGACTCTTTTTTTTGTGTTCAAGTAGATACATAACTTGATTTTTTTGGTTAAATTGGAAAAATTGTAACTACCTATTTGAATTAAAAAAAAAATCAAATTCATGCACTAATTTGAACTGAAAAGTCGAATTCAGACACATGATTGAAAAGAATCATATACATAATTGAATCCTAAACTAAATTCAATTGGACTTAAAAATACTTGGGTTTCAAATGAAACCTGAATGCCAAGTTTGGGTGCCAACGCATATATTCACCATTAATAATAAAAAAATGTCATTAAAATAAAGAAATATAGTAAAAAAGAGAGAAACAATAATAATAATAAATATATTATTTTTAATATAAAATATATACCAAACTTTATATTTATAAAAATATCATACAAAATCACAATTATGATGGAACCTCGATTAAAAAAAATACTTGTATTTATTTACTCTCGTGAAAAGAGCATATGTGAGATAAAATTTTCTGAACTTAAACATAATCTTCAAATGATGAAGAAGATAATGTACTTATAAATAGAATTATCAAATTATATTTGAATAAGAGAGAATGAAACAAAACTGTTATTTAAATAATAATTTACTTACTCGTAAAAAAAATTATATTACTTAAAGATGAGAGGAAATGGGATTACGACGTAAATAAATAAAAGAAGAAAAATATTTGATATCAACACCACGATTATAAAAGTATAATGCATTCGTCAATAGCCTTTTTGTTAAGATTGATCGATCTACACATTTCTCTAGAAAATGTTAAAACGATCAATACCCAAACTGTATAAAGTTTACCGTAATCATATTAAATGCATTTTGATTACGAGACTTATCGAGCAATAAAATTCTCTCGATAATCTTCGAAATGTGTATCCCAACAAGTATCTTTGTCACATCTTCATAGCGATACTATTCTAGTGTATCAATTTTTTAATTATGTCAAGTAGATTCAACCATCATAGTACTTGTCATAGTCTTCTAAACAAGTTTTGACATACATCATGTAATCTTTTAACATCCATACCGGTTAGAACATGATCATTTATTAAGAGATCGAACCCTAGTGTAACATCTTCAAGAGAATTTATACATTCCCTACGTGAAAGATCGAATGCGTGTGTTTGTCTAATCACCATCTTTTTACGAGTGTTAAAATCAAAGTTGGATTTATCAAAATAAAATCTTAAGAAATCGAGGTACGTATAAAAAAATCAATATGGTCTCAATATTCAATAATGACATAAAAGAGGTCTCTCTCATATAGTGAATAGATGAATGATGATACAATTATTCTCCTGTTAAATTTAAATAGTTATATAAATTCTATAAAAAAATTATTATATAAATTACTTATAAAAATATATTAAAAATAATAATTAGCAAAAGCCTTGCCAATAAAATTAGTCCACTTACTATATACGATAAATAAGTAAACTTTTGTGTCACGTTTAATTGTTATATTTTTATTTTTTATATTGTAAAATAATAAATAAAACAAACAATATTGTAATGTAACAATATAATGAGTAAATAATTATACAAAAATTAAATAATTAAAAAATAAATAAGCATTCTATATATATTTTTTGTTTTTGATGCATTAAAATCTATATTAAATTATAAGTACATAATATAGATTAAAAATTATCAATTCAAAAAAAACCCTAGAATATTAATTCAAAAAAGAAAGTTTTTTATTAAAAAAAAAACTAATTCAAAAAAATTTCAAACCCATCCGAGCATGCACTCATCATTGATCATCATATATCAGCATTTAACACACTCATCATCCCATCTCCGCTCTTTAAATACCGCTACTGTGTACCTTCGTCTCCTCTATTTTTACTCGGTAAAAAACCAATTATCACAACGTTTCTGATTCACAATGGGAGAGGTCGGTTATCAACAAATTACTCTCCTTATCTCTTTTTGCCGTTTCATTTTCTTCTATTTCTGCTTCGTAACTTTCGTTCCATCTTCCACTGACTGCTTGTTGCTCTCTTCTCTGTCTCTGTTGCAGAAAAAGAACGAAAACAAGAAAGGAGGGGATGGAGAAAACAAGGAAAAGGGTTCATCGGCCATTGTTTTTAAAGTTGATTGTCTTTGTGACGGTTGCGCTATCAAAGTCCTCAAATGCATTCGTGAAGTTCAAGGTATGATCCATCGTTTTTGCGTTTTAAGTTTCCGTTTTGTTACTTGGTTTTCCAATTGTTTACTCTGGGTGTTTTTTCTCTGTTTTCCTAATGGCAGGGGTGGAGAAGGTTACAATAGAGAGCGGCTCAAACAAAGTGACGGTAACCGGAGCTGTGGATCCGACCGCCATTAAAGAGAAACTCGTGAAGAAAACCAAGAAGAAAGTTGACCTCATTTCCCCTCAACCGAAGAAAGATGAAAACAAAGAGGAGAAAAAAGCTGAGAAAGAGAAAAATCAAGATTCTGGAAATGATAATGGTAAAAAACCAGAGAAAAAACCCAAAGAGGTATACAGTTTCCCATTTTTCTATTTCTCATTTTCAAAACTTAATTTCTTGATGTTTAATCTCTTTTTTTTTATTTGAATAATTTCAATTCAGGCCCCAGTAACGACGGCAGATTTGAAGGTGCAACCGTACTGCCAGTGCTGGGGATGCACTGTTAAGATTCGCAAAATTGTCGCCGATACTAAAGGTGATGACCCTCTTAAGCTAGCATAAATTCTGACAGTTCTGTCACTATAATAGCGTTTAAATCCTGTTTTAATTTCCGGGTTTTGGTTTTTGACGGTATTGTAGGCGTGCATGAGTTGAAAGTAGACAAGGTGAAGGAGCTGGTCACGGTTAAGGGGACTATGGATGTTAAGTCCTTGGCTGAGACTTTGAAGGACAAACTGAAGAAGAATGTTGAGATCGTGCCACTTAAGAAAGAGAAAGAGAAAGAGAAAGAGAAAGAGAAAGGTGGCAAAAAAGAGGGTGGCGAGGGTGGTGATGGCGGCAAAGGGAAGAAGAAGAACAAAGAAGGTGGAAATGGTGGTGCCGGAGATGGTGTAAATCAGGCTGCAACTACTGGTGGTGGTGGTGGTAATGGCAAGATGGAAGGGGCCAGGATGGAATTTATGGTTCAACCCCAATTTGGGTACATGCCTGGTTACCCTGGATACGGGTACGGGCACCAGCACGGGCAAGGTTACCCCGGTTACCCGGTCTCTGTTCACCCTCCTCACCACCTATTCAATGATGAGAATCCGAATGCTTGTTCCACTATGTGACTGAGGAGGATAAATGGTTTATGGCAAATGATATTAGGTGAAGGTAAATCAAAGGAATGTGTAATTAAGAAATAGAGAAGAAAGTTTTACTTGGAAAGGTACATTTTGGGTTAAACTTGTTGCTCCAATAGCCTGTTTGTTTTTACCTTATAAATGTCGAATCTTAGGGTTTTCATTTTTAATATGATTGTCGGATATGTCTCTTAATATTTCTGAGCACAATATGTTATATAAATACGAGGAGGAAACACACATGCATGGCTTATGAGATGCAGGCATAAATGACATGGTGATCATGAATGAATTTAACGGAATAATTATCACCTGAAAATTTTAAATTATTGTATATTTTAATTATTTTTTACTAATAATTTGTTTTTGTTTTATAGAATGTTATAAGTTCATCCTATAAAATATTTAAAGTTTATTATCGTAACATAAAATCTTACGGCCGTTATTATGGTTTTGTTTCCATCCATCTAACCCCAAAGGGAAAGCAAAAGTTTGAATTGCACACACACATAAATTTGATGAGCTGGAAGATTCTTTGTTTACAAAGAAACCTGATCATAAAACACACCTACCCATCACCCAATTCAATGTGATGAACAATTAAGGTTTGCAGTTTGCAATCAATGTCTGCAACTTCAGGAGTCTGCCTTCTTTGAATCATAACAGTTTCAGAATTTATATCATCTTACTATAATTTGACACAATTTTTGCTTCATGATCATGCATCTGATATAATTTAAGATTGAACAATCCTATACAAAATCAATTTGATCAGTCAAATCTCATATCATAATTGTATAGTTTTAACAAACTTGCACTAAAAATGTTAATGTAATTTGATAAATTTTCTAGTTGAAGATAATATCTAAGGTATAAGAACATGAGAAATTTCCAAGATTGAACAATATCAGAATGTGCATGGTTTTTGTGAAAGTGCAAAAGTTTTTGTCCATTATGAAATCAGTAAATGGCTGGTAACTGATGGCAGAGGCAAATGAATTGGCACAGACACGCCAGTTTTGGGTCCACAACATAAAAAAATGACATTAAATCATAGGGCAGGACCTACAACATTATTCCGAAAATACAGGCCTATGAACCTGGTTAATCAACCCTTTTAACTTTTTGTGGTGTCCTTATTAGGTGTCATCATCCTCAAGGCATTTGTTAACCAATTTCTTTGCTGTCCTGGTTAGGAAATTTGATACAAGATAAGGCCAATTTACAGCGTTCTCCTGGAATATAAACTGGCTCTTTCTAGTCCCTCCCCTGTAATTATAATGCACTCTCAGTTCAGAATTTTTCTTAGTTTATTGATAATACATACACTCCGTAGACGTTGTTGCTCGAACCGAATCCTAGAAACAACATTCCATTTTACGTTTGAGGTCATTCAATGACTCTCCTAATTAATAATAGTAAAATGGCTAAAAAGGGACACACACCAGCCAGTCAGTGAGCACCAAGGAAGTGTCCAATAAGCCAATGCTTCACCTTGTTGTAAGCTATGGTACAAATTAGGATATTGTTTATATATTATCTAAGCCAAGTTCATGGTGGGTCAGTGTTCCTTTTTTTTCTTTCCTTCAATCAAATGTTTTCTTGGCAGTATTGAGCTTCAAGTTTCCCAAGCAATTTCCTTCTGCAAACATATTCCGTTTCACTCCTTTTTCAATGAAACTCATCATTTAGTGTCATGTAGAGTTAACCCCAAAGCTTATCTCTTTGCATGTGCACATGTAAAGTCATGATGTGGGTGTCATGCATGTACATGAATCCCATGATGTTGCCTAAATGTGCCATTTCATGCTGCATATAGCAGTCTCATCCATTCTTCCAATGCCCCCACTGTACTTTGCCTCCCTTGGTGAAATTAAAGGGACCCTTCCCCAGAAAGAGTGGGATAATGTAGCAATCTTAATGTGTTTTTTGTTGTTGTAAGTTTAATGTTCACTACTCACTACTTTTCATCTTTTTTATTAAGATAATGTTTGACATTGCAAAGAAAAGAAGAGTAATGAATTTGATGGATGAACGGAGGTGGTCCTTCCTTGAAATTTCGATAGTATAAAAAGAGAGAGAAATTTACTTAAAGATTCCGAATCCATGTGATTAAAGGGTCTTTTGAATCCTTTTAAAAGAAGATATGATTGCATGAGCTCAATACCATGTGTCAACAAGTAGATTTCATAAAAAGATGGATTATAGAGAAGAGAAAAGGATTCATTTTCCATGCATGAGAAGAGCCAATTTTATATGGATATTCTCCAATAAACTAAAAGGAAAAGAAAATTGTTAAAGATTCTTTGTTTATTGGAAGTCAGATCTTCATAGTTTATAGAATTTTTCATTTGTTTCTTTTCCTTCTACTGCATCAAACTAGGCAAGGGAAGACAGATATCATTTATTTAAATAAGAAACTTGGTCAGGATGGATTATCTTCATTATCGTCTGGAACGACTTGAACTCCATGGCTCTTACGTCAACATGAAACCCTCTCCCCTGTCCTTTCTCAAGGCCCTCCACCTTGAGTCGCATTGTCACACCCCAAAAATATTGAGGTTAATTAATGGATTAAAGTAAGTTAATTTGAGGACTAAATTACGAAATTTTAAAATAATAGGTTATTATTTCTCTCCACAATTCTGGCCGCCACAAGCGACCGTATGTCGCGCCGTCACCACCAACGTGACTACCGTCTGCCAGAGACCGAAACCCGCCCAACCTTGCTCTATTTAAGCCTGTTGTTCGTTATGGAGAACCACTTAAAGCTTCGTTAGAAAACTCCAAACCATAGTCGTTGTTTTTGCAATTTCGTGTCAATCCCGAGCTCTGTTCGCCTCAACGCCACTGCCATCTGGTTCCCTGCTTTGTTTCGACCAAAACTCGGTTGGTATCGTCCCCTCCCACCGTCGTGGTAGGCGTTCAATATCCTTTTCGTTCATTTTTATTCGTATTTTGGTTGTTTTGATGTTATTGTAAACTGATTTTGGGTGTTTGGCAATCTTCCGAGCATTCGACCGTGGTCCTCGTCTCCCGTCACATGCACTACTACTGTGCGTGGCCTTTGTCCTTGTCGAGTCTTCTGAAAAATTGAGTCAATTCGATCGAGTTGACCGAGTCAACCCAGACTGAATTGAGTCAATTCGTTGACCTGGACTGTTGACTTTGACCCTATTGATCGTTGACTTTGACAAAAATCAACTTTTCTGGAAAAAAAAAATCCTATTTTATGTTTTTGACGTCATGAGTCTAAATATGAAGTTCGTTTCTCTAAATTCAAACTGGATAAGCTATTTTCAGCATTCTAAATTTCTGATTCGAATAGTTTTCCCAATTAAGTTCCATTTCCAACGTAAATTCTTTTTCTATGTATCTTAGATACTATGAGACATGGAACTCAAGTGTGAGAGAGATCAAATGAAGTTTAAATGATCAACCGTTGTGGCTCAAAAATCGAGGTAATATATTACTACTTTTTGCATACTTTAAGGAACACGTTGGTATTGGTTGCATGAATAAATATTATTGGTTAATTATGTGTAGTAATTATTGTTGGGCTCGAACTAAATATGGAAATAAATTAGTAAACCGTATAAGACTCAGATGACCCGTATAAGAAATTGGAGGACTGAATAGAAATAAATCCAAGTTAAGTGATTTATCAGTAAATTAATTTACCCCGGGATTAGTAAATTAATTTACCCCATGATCTTTAAATTCTAATTATTTTGGTTAAAGGTTAAATGCTAGAAATTCATGTGTAAGAAATTACGAAAGTACCCCTATTATGTAAAAAGGCGAGGATTGTCTCTGAAACTGAAAATAACCCTAGAAGTTATACATGATCCTATAAACTGTTGACTCACCGTTAAATACTCAATCTGCTCAGAAAATCCCAATAACTGATTTTTGCTCAGAGATGGTGAATGACTTAGAAATTCTGATTCTGGAATAAACACTTGATGATTAAATTATTGGAAATGATGTGTATGACTGAATCGAAGAAAATAACTGGAATACTCTTGTGCTTAGAAAAGACCAAAATAACCTCAAGTGTTGAAATGTCTGAAATGCCCCTGTTTGCATGAATAATGAAAACACTCATGTTATAACTAGATCTTCGATAATTCTGATGTAAAGATTTCTAAGCACCTTTATGATACACTATAATCTTAAATGATTTTTCAAACATCAATTTCTGAATATTGATTGGATCTACTAATGAACGAACCCTTTTTTATAAGGACCTCGATTCTGAATTCCGTCCAATCTACAGAAGTTCTACGTTTTCCCTTCCTGATAACAATTAATTGCCTCCGAAAAATAAATGAATCTTCTGGTGTGTTCCCTATATGCTACATGACCATTTTATTTGTATTGAAATTATAAATTGATATATGGTTGATTTACGATTGTTTTTTACTAATTGATATATTGATTTATTGGTTACTTGTTTTACTGGAAAAAATGAAATATGTCTGATGTATGGATCATGTAACTATTGGTTACTACTTGAACTGTTTTATTGGGACACTATCTTGGTAGGCTAGAGTATGGAGGTTTATCTATGATCAAGCTAGTAAATCCTTACTGACCTAAGGTGACCCTTGGGTAGACTCTTAGGCCCCAAGATATTCCCTTATGTAGGCTCTTAGGCCTCAAGGTGCTTCTTTGGGTAGACTCTTAGGCCTCAAGGTATTCCTTGGGTAGGCTCTAAGGCCCCAAGGAACTCCCTTAGTATGAAGACTATATATTTGGTGTACTGCCAGATGACATTTATGTGATTTAAATAACTACATTGTCATTTTTACAATATTCTACTGGATCATGATTTTGATATTAAAGTTTAATGCTCAATCTGATTTCTACTAGATACTATATGGGTAGGAGTCTGGAGTACGGATGTTCAGCTCTTATCAAGTTGGTAAATCCTTACGGACCTAAGGAGATCCTTGGGTAGGCCCCAAAGTACTCCTTTAGGGTGGCTTATTTGTTGTGTGCTTAGGGTAAATCTTTATGGATGCAGTTCTGGGGAACTGCATATGTAGTGTTTGGGTGAAAGGTATTTCAATGATTTTAAAAATTTGTTTTACTGAAATAAAATACTACTGTTTTTAATATATGATTTCATTTATTCTGGTTCTGTGGGAATACACCAGACGTCTGT